CTCCTCTCTGGCTCAATTACATTCACATGACCAAAACATAAAAGTAAATGTAATATGAAGAAGGAAACAAAGTGGCAAGTACATCATCATAAAAATTTTACTTAGAATAAATTTAGCTAAATGCAGGAGGGGGAAGCAATCTTTTTGGAATAGAAATATCAAAGCTGAATTAAAAAATAGAGAAAATAATAAAAGGCAGCAATTCAAAGCCCTGACTGTGAAAAACACAGCAGTGAAAATAGTATAGGTTGTATTTTTGAAAAGATATATTACATAATCTGATACCCCACTTATTAAAAAAAACATCTTAATTTGATATTTATGCTGGTGTAAAACAAAAGGTACAAAAGCTACGTGGTTAGATAGTTTGAAAAAAAAAAAACAATATGCACAAATAAAAAAATTAAATAAAATGCCAACATAACATGGGGTAATTGACGAGAGTGCAATATTTTCTTTAAAAAAAAAAAAAAAAAAAAAAAAAACGACGTGCAATATACTAAAGCGCTAAAGCCTATATAGATTTACTATCATTGGTAAGTGGTATAGTCTGGGCTCAGTCAAAAAACCCTTTGTCAGTGTCATAGTCAGGGTTATGTCGATGTCTGGGGGGGGAGGGGGGCAGCTTGCTTGCGGGAAGTAGCAGGGTTTTGTTTCAGGGATAATAAAATAATACGAATAAGGATATTGGATCAGTAAGGCACAGGACATTACTCCCGAAATACCCAAATACGGCCAACCGCCATTTTAGCAGTAAATATGGAGGAATTTCCGATATACTGGTATTGGTATCGGAACAACTCTAAAACTGCAAGTTCCACCATCTACAGAAACTGCCAAACAACACTCAATATCTTTGTTTTAAAAACACAGTTACAACTTAAAAGGCTTATGAAATGACAAAAACTCAGTTAGGTCATGCTGGGAAGGAACAACGACTGGATGACCACCCACCTAGAGCTGAAGGGTCTGTCCTAGGTTTCTGCCTGTTAAAACGGCAGTTTTTCCTTGCCCCCGGTCGCCAAGTGCTTGGACCTCATGGTCGGTACTGTTGGGTCTCTGTAAATAATGTTAAACAGGAGTTCGGGTCTAGACCTGCTCATTTGAAAAGGTGTCCTTGAGATAATTCTGTTATGAATTGGCGCAAATATAACAAATAAAACTATATGAATTGGAATTAAAACTTGAATTTGTAATGGAATCTGAATTGAATTGGGGCAACCGGACTGAGGGGTATTGATTGAAAAACCCAGATACATACACAGACATAACAATGTAAATTACTAACAAATAATATGTTAATGGTAACTGTGTGGTTCTGCTGGAAGTGTTTATAAAATCACAAAACTTGGCATAATGTTTAAGTGTGAAAAAGTGAGCAAAAAGTAGTGAGGAGCGTAAAAGAGAAGTAAAAAGATAAGGACATGTAAAGGCCAATACCTTTATTGTTACTACAAAGGGTTGCTGAAGACTTGGACAACTGGCCATCCGTCTATGGAGTGAACTTGTGAAAGATCAAAACTAAATAAGGCAGACACTTACATATTTCCACAGATAGTGCAGGATCACTTTGAACTTAACATAAATACTAAAATCAAAAATAGTTGGGAGCGACAGAAACGGTCCTATTCGGATAGCAAAAGGCGAAGAAGGTAAACAGGCCTGGACAGGAAAAACCAGTTAAAAGTAAATATATGTTTACTCTTCCTAACGTATATACCTGATTCTTACAATCCATTTCTTGAAAAAAACAATGACAAATTTAATTCATGTATAATCTAAGAATACAAACAAAAAAGCACACAGAGCATAGTAAACTAAATGGAACACATAGGAAATAGGCAAATACTTTTAATCAAAGTCATGCTGCTCTTCAAATTCGTCAACTTAATATTAACAAAAGTGATTCAAGAAACATGTTATGTTCTTGCAACATAATAGGCTGAAACAGAATTAAATGTTGACCAACATAAGGTATGTTATGAGGAACAAGTGACAGTACATCATCATCAAAAATTTACTTAGCTAATAGCTTGCAGCATGTGTATCAGCTTAAATAGAGTTAATAAGGCAGCATTCAGCCCTGTGTGACAGCAGTGATTATAGTTGTATTTTTGAAGTTTACATATCTGTCCCACTTCTTAATAAACACATTTAATTGATTTTTGCTGTGTAAAAAAGGTACAAAAGCTAGTGGTTAGTGTTTGAAAAA